GGAGCTTCCAGAACAAAGAAGAATGGGGAGCCCGGGGGCCAGCCTAGGAATCAAAAAGGCTCTGCAGAGTGAGCAGGCCACAGCACTGCCTGCCTCTGCCCCAGCAGTCAGTCAGCCAACGGCACCTGCTCCCTCCTGCTTGCCCAAGGCTGGGCAAGTCATCCCCGCTCTGCTTCCAGAGGCCCCGTTTTCCAGCGTGATTGCGCCGACACTGCTCTGTGGGTTTCTCTTCTTGGCGTGGGTTGCTGCTGAAGTTCCAGGGGAGAGCAGCAGGATGGCTGGGAGCAGAGCCAGGAGTGAGGAAGGCCGCCGGCAGCATGCCTTTGTCCCGGAGCCTTTTGATGGGGCCAATGTCGTCCCAAACCTCTGGCTGCACCGCTTTGAAGTCATCAATGACCTCAACCATTGGGACCATATCACCAAGCTAAGGTTCCTGAAAGAGTCCCTCAGAGGAGAGGCGCTGGATATCTACAATGGGCTCAGTCCCCAGGACCAGGGAGACTACGGGACTGTGAAAGAGACCCTCCTGAAGGCCTTTGGGGTCCCTGGGGCTGCCCCCAGCCACCTGCCCAAAGAGATCGTCTTTGCCAACAGCATGGGTAAGGGCTACTATCTCAAGGGGAAGATTGGTAAAGTGCCCGTGAGGTTCCTGGTGGACTCTGGGGCCCAGGTCTCTGTGGTCCACCCAAACTTGTGGGAGGAGGTCACCGATGGCGATCTGGACACTCTGCGGCCCTTTGAGAACGTGGTAAAGGTGGCCAATGGTGCTGAAATGAAGATCCTGGGTGTCTGGGATACAGCAGTGTCCCTAGGCAAGCTGAAGCTGAAGGCACAGTTCCTAGTGGCCAATGCAAGTGCCGAGGAAGCCATCATTGGCACTGATGTGCTCCAGGACCACAACGCTGTCCTGGACTTTGAGCACCGCACATGCACCCTGAAAGGGAAGAAGTTCCGCCTTCTGCCTGTGGGAGGGTCCCTGGAAGATGAGTTTGACCTGGAGCTCATAGAGGAGGACCCCTCCTCAGAAGAAGGGCGGCAGGAGTTCTCCCACTGAGAAGCCCCCTTTTCTCTAACCTCCTAAATATTGGTGGGAAGGCCCACCACTGTGGTGGGCGGGGGGCGCATATCCTCAGGGGGATCACTGGGCTTGGCCAATCCGCTTATCAACTCTTGCTCTTCCCTCCTCTCTTCCTCCCTCTGCAGGGGCCTTAATTTGCCCCTGGCTGGGGAGGCTTCCACTGAACAGGCACAGGTGAGGGAGATCAGGCTGTCTTAGAGGGACAGGGTCCTCATGGTCATCAAGCTGCTATTGATGACAAAGACTCGAAGGCTGGAAGAGCTCCCAAGGAAGCTAGAAATGCTTGTCTTTGAAAGAACTCTGGGACCCCTTCAGATCCCCTGGGGTATGGCTTGGTCACTCTCAGGTTCTCAGAGCCTGTCTCAGCTAGGCTGGGTCCTAGCTGCAGGGTCTTCGTGAGGGTCACAGTTGCTCTGAGACACTGCCTGAAGAGCCTTTCCACCTGTACAATGGTATTTTCTGTCTATCATTTGCTTTGAAGCCCATTGTGCCTTGTGCCAATAATTCAATTGCTGCAAACACCAATAAAGATTGATTCATGGAAAAACCATGTAATGTGTTGATTGAGGATGAGAGGAATGTGAGAGGGAGTCAACATCAAAGACAAGGGAGATTCACGTGTCTAATGAGTGCCTAGCTGGAGGTATAAGAACATATACACAGTGACAACATGTCTTGGATTTTCTAAGACAGTCTCAGCATAAAATATTTTGACTTATTCCCTCCAGAATTACTCGCGTTATTTTGAATCATCATAATTCCTCTACTTATTTCAATCTGTAGTATTTTACCATACACATTGCCCCTATACCCAAAAGCGACCCTAAAGTCTTATGTGAGATGTCTTGATTGAGGATTGGGAAATTATGATTATGATAAACAAACAGGAAAGTGTCTGCTGGGCAAATAGGTTCTTACAGCTGTCCAGGAGAGAGAACTTGGAGGCAGAAAGCAGGGCCAGGAGACAAGTGTTAACCTGCGTGGGACAGCCCAAGGGTGTGCTGGAGGACAGGGGAGGCAGCGGCAATGCAGGGTCCTGGCGGTGGGAGGTCAGCCTCTTCCTGGAGGAACTTGCAACAGAGCCTGAAACTAGAGCGACCTGATGGAGAGGAGGGCGTTCCCAGATCTGGAAATGGGGTGTGCATCTCTTTTAGGGATCCACCTCGTATTTGCTTTCAAATTTCTGTTTTTTTCTGGAATGCAGCAGGGCTGGGAATCTGAAACCCAAAGGGAGAAGCTGAGTGGACAGAAGTCTCCACAGAGGAGCCAGTTTGTTCCAAATCTCAGGCCTCCCCACCAAGCACATGGGACGAGCCCGTTCTCAGGGGAGATGACCTGCACCCTCCAAACTTTGGGCCCAGGAAGATTGGCGCAAGGTCAGAGACATGAACATGCAGGGATCCCGGACCTCTTGATGGAGGCGTGAAGGACCATTTTCCATCCTCCAGGGTGGAATGAGCCTCTCGAAGTTCCCACCTGGACAGCTCCTGAGGGAAGACAGAAGGCAGGAGTGAAGCCCCTGGACTTTTTGAAGCTGATCTGAGCCAGGATCAGCTGCCCCTCCCTGGCCCCTTCTTCCCTCCGATTCCAGCTGTGATCCTCCTGGGAACTGAGGCATGACTCAGTCCCTAATCCCCGGGGTTTACCCAGGCCCCTTCCTTGGGCAGCCAAGCATCTTAACTGAAATTAGCTCCATCAGCCCCAGGGCATGTGGAGGGAAGGACAGGTGTGGGATCAGGAGGAAATCTCTTTCCAAAAAAGTGATGCCTAGACAAGTATGTGGGAGAACTGGAGAAGAGGGTGGGGGAACTGGAGAAGGTGATGGGGGAACTGGAGAAGGAGGGGGAGAACTGGAGAAGCGGGGGGAGAACTGGAGAAGAAGAGGGGAGAACTGGAGAAGGAGGGGAGAACTGGAGAAGGTGATGGGGGAACTGGAGAAGCAGGGGAGAACTGGAGAAGAGGTGGGGGAGAACTGGAGAAGAGGGGGAAAGAACTGGAGAAGGTGATGGGGGAACTGGAGAAGGTGATGGGGGAACTGGAGAAGGGGTGGCCTCCGGATGCCTCCCAGGTCCTGCATCCCCCTTCTCAAATGTGATTTTCAGCCCTGGTCTCTGTGGCCTAACACATGCTGCTCTCTCATGGGCTGAGCCCTCTCCTGAGGGAACAATCCAGGTGGCACCTCCCTGTGACCTATTTTCCTCCAGGTCCTTTGGATCCCAGCCACGTGCTGGGTAGAAGGATGGAAGGAGGGAGGGTAAAGGGTCTGTAAGCGGGTGGGTGGGGAGCTGGGGAGGGGACTAAGGAATTGGTGGCCAGGCCAGAATTCCAGAGCAATACCCCAGCCTCCCTGCCCTTCCCCACACACCACAGGGAGCAGAGCCCTGTCCTGGGTGGTTGCGAATGGGATGCTGTGTCCCAGCAGCAGACACCTTCTTCCCCTGCTCTGAGTGAGGAGAGCCTGTCTGAGCCCCCAGGTCCCAGCTCTCAGCCAGTTTTCTCTCCTAGAGAAATGTGGGCCCCCTGAGAGGGCACAGTGAGGGGCGGGGTTTGTGACATCCGAAGCACGGCCCCCATGGAGGAAGGGACCATGTGGTGCTTCTTATTGGAGACCTGAGTGAGCCTGAGACCGCTGCTGCATGGGTGTGAGAGTGATCACAGCTGCCGATGCGTCAACGTGGAACCCGGCTGCAGGACTGTGAGCAGCTGCTCTCTGGGAAGCCAGGTATCAAACAACAGAGAAGCCCGGGAGAGAAGCCAGAAAAAGTGGGTAGTGGCCACACCACAGAGGGCGTGCTGCCTGGGTGAGGAGTTCACACCTGCCTCCCACAGTGAACCATGCGGGAGCAGGAAGATTCATCTGGCTTCTGGGTATAGGAAGGAGTAAAGCAGCAGCAAAGGCTCCACTTGGACACCATGGCAGCCCTTAGACTTAGGGTCTGCATTTGCGATGATGGAAAGGAGGATGCAGGATCGATGTGAAGGTTTAGCCTTGGGAGCACATGATAATCACCAGAGAAGACCAATGAACATCAATTCCTCCAATGGTCCCAAAGTACAGCAGGCTTGGGAACCGGTGGTCTAAATTCCAGTGGCTTCTACCCCTGTGCCACCCAAAGGGTGATCCATGAACCAGCAGGAAGGCGACCTCAGCATCACCTGGGAGCCCATTGAGAATACAGACTCTCCATCCCATCCAGACCTGCGCCAGAATCTGCAGTGAACAAGATCTCCGAGTAATTCTAGGGGATATAAGAGTTTGAAAAGCCCTGGCCTAGAACATTTTAAAACCTTTAGTTAAGGGGCCCCTACAAGCTGCCTTCTTCTCTAATAATGACCCCCACAAACTGAATGCATGCCAGTTCCCCAGACCACGCTAGATAATTCTTTATGCTTTATCCAGCAAACCTTCAAGTCTTAATTTCAGACTAACAGGAAAGTTGCAAGAGCAGTACAAAGAATTTCCATATGTTTCACCCAGTTTCCCCAAATATTGATATTTTACCAATTAACTTCATCATCTCTCTCATTCTCATTCTTTTTCTCTGTATCTATATGTATAGGAACCTTTGAAAATTGCAAATATGATGCTCTTTTATCTCTAAATACTTCAATGTATATTTCTTAGGGGAAAACAACAACAAGGGCATTCTCTTTTTTTTTTTTTT